TACAAACCAGGCTCATTTCTAGGAAGCTTTCTCTACTGGCCTTGGTCATTCCCCTGGGCCTGTGTGGCCTTGCCCATCATGATCCCAGGCTTTTCTCTGATGTCCATCTATTATGGATAGTACTATAGAGTAATAGCTCATACGTATTGAAGGACTACTCTGTCGTAGGCCTTCTTTAAACCTTCTTTTCAATACTATAAATGTAGAATGCTTTTCCAGCACGCCCGCTGTAAAAACAGGTTCTGAAAAATAAAGTCACTTATCCAAACCCTCAAGATTAGGAAAAAGCTGTCAAAGCTGATAATACCTATCTTTCCCTCTCCTGAGGTGCTGCCTTCTCCGCTACCTACTACTTTTCCTCCTCCTTCTCCTCTTTCTTATTCGCCTACCTCCAGTGCCACAAATAGTGTTGAACATGGAATAATATAAGACAAAGCTGGCTCTATGTTCCTTTCTCTACTCACCTCTTGGGCCTGGCAGAGGGGCCAGGAGGTTCCAGGGAAAAAGAAACCATGGGTTGTTGCTCCAAGGTCACTGGAGTATAGGGCAGAATTGAGGGCTCTCGGGGCTGGTTAAGCAACAGAAGTGCTTGACAATTTTCCTGCAGGAGCAGAGAGACCAGTGGGAATTTGCTACCAGACCAACCATGAATAGAGGAAGCATGGGCTAGTTTAGGATGAGAATAAGAACCCAAATGTCAGAACCTGAAGATGTTGAAGATCAGCCAGGCTTACCTTTAATTTTCAGTTCATACTGAAACTCAGAAAGAAGTCATCTTTCACAGGTAGATTAGGGGATGGAACACATGTCATTGGGATTCAGTGTAAAGTGTCTGGGCAATGACCTCAGAAGCATTTCCCATAGGCAAAAGACTCTCCTTACCTCCTGTGGGGCATTGTGGGACCTGGCTTCATGCTGATACACAGTGCTCTCCTTCTCATCTGTAAAACACAAGGCATAGCTTAGATGAGCCTCACTATCAGCACCATTCCAAACACTCCACCCCATTCTGAGGTCTCATCTCATGGTTCTTTTCCAGCTTCTGGATATCTTTCTCTTCATAGTGAATGTCCACTGGGGAGACTGGGACGGAAGGATCACAGGTATAAGAATACCCTGGACTAACTAACAAGGTAGTGTCTCAAACCAAATGTTTACAAGACAATGTCTCAAAACAACAAGCCTAACACTCAACAACAAAATCCACCTACATAAAATATAAGCAAAGGACTTAAACTAACATTTTTCCAAAACATTTGTCCCTAACATTGATATGAGAATTTACCAAAGGTCACACTGCAATTTCATGACAAGGTTGGTGACAGAATTTTCCATGCTTTCTTAACCCAAACTCAGGTTCCTTGCCCAGCCAAGCCACTCACTGAGGTCTTCTGCTGCAACAGCAGACTTCTTGACATGCTTGTGAGATGTAGGGGCAACAGCCATACTCTTCATCAGTCCTTGAGACAGTTGCCTCTTCAGCAGTGCACCCTGCTCGCTCTTTGAGGCACTCACAGCAGGACAGGCCCGGGGCTGCTTCCTAAAGTGAAGAATTGAGGGCCCAAGTTTAGTAGGATACAGAAGAGGCCTGAGCCTTTTCCTGTCAGACATGATTCTCCCAAGATGACAACAAGATTGTGACACTTACAGGCATGAAAGAGACAGAAATGCTTTTCACTCCTGGTTTGGGTAGTGATGCCATGCTTTTGTCAGCTGTCAGAGTGACCTATAAGTCTTCTAGAGCCAAATTCAGTCCCTCATGGAGCTCTGGTCCCATGCCCACAGTTATATGTGGAATCAGAAGGGCATCAGAGTACAGCAGGCATGCCATTGTGTTCTATGGTTCTAGGATCAGGATTGAAGGTCAGAATGGCCCTTTGAGCCCCTACTCCCATGTACTTACTCTGCCTCTAGAAAGCAGCATCTTAAGTGACTGGAATTTTTCTTTCCATTCTGCTCACTGCTGCAATTAAGTTTTCATTCCCTTCCTTTCCTTGGCTTTCCCAACCTTTACCTATCCTTATTTAAATAGTCTCCTTCCCAGAAGTTCTACCCATACATTGCCTCTGCCCAAGAATCTCTTCACAGTCCCACAGAATTTTTATTGGATCCTAACTCTCTGTGCCCAACTTCACTCCACACAATCCATTCCCAGGCACAGCCATGAACTCGTGCATCTCCTTCAGCAATCACTGCACTTCATTCTGTTGCTCCATAGTCTTCCATGTGCCCTGAATTCATTCAATCCCCATGTGGGATTTTATATTCCATGCTCTTGGCTGGTATTCTCATGAATGCTGAATATCAATTTCCCTTCACTTTCCATTAATATTTTTCTCACATTCAACCTTAATCTTAATTATCACCCTGATCCCCCTTTAAACTGACTAGCCTCTTGCTTCCCATAAAATTATATCATTCTGCTGAATCCAAGGTGGTGGCCCAAGCCTTAGATCCTAGTATTCAGGAGACTGAGGTAGGAGGGTCAGGAGTTTGAGACCACTCTGGGTTAACCCATGAGACAGTCTCTCAAAACAAAAAAAAAAAATTTACAGCTGAACAACAAAAACAACTTACATAAAATGTAAGCAAAGGAACTGAACAGACATTTCTCCAAAACATACAAATGGCAAACTGAAAAAATGCTCAAAATAAAAAGTCAGTGCAGAAATCCAAATCACAAGTGAGGTACAATTCATTCCATTAGGATGTCTGTTCTCTAAAAAATGTAGCAAGCATTGGAGAAAACATGGAGAAATTGGAGCCTTTGTGCACTTTTTGTGGGACTACAGATTAATGTAACTAGTGACATTCTATCTCAAAAAATACTCTTCTCCTGAATCCCGTCATCTTTCAATTATTATTTTACTCCAGCCCTTCATTCACTCCCAGCATTCCTCAGGCAACAGATTTTTCTTGAATGCCCTATGGACTACTAGATCCTGAATGAACCAATAGGCACCTCCTTAGCAGACTCATTCTTCTCTCTCTGCCAACACACACTCTTGACATTCATGCAAATTTTTTTCACTCATTACCTTCACAGCCTGCCACCAATCTTTCAGACTCTTCACACTTCAAAAACTGTGCCTGACTATGGCAGCTTCTCTTCCCTAACACCGTCCCTCTTTATGCCCCCCACCCACCCACAGAGGAGCACTCTCTGGCAAGCAGCAGTATTATTGCCTTAGGAAGCCCAGTAATTCTACTCTTCCCCACCTCTGAGTCAAAGCAGGGTCATGAGCTCTGCCACAGGGTCCAGAGGTCAGGGAATCTCCCAAAATGGGATTCCCAGGCAGGGAGGAATTTCCAGAGTCAGTGCGGGTTTTCCACTTAAGCAGTGGAAAGGGAATGGAACTGGCTAGCTGGAGAAGGACAGAGGGATGGAAGAAACAAAAGGCAGATAATATAAAGGTCAAAGGTCAATATTTCTGATGCAAGCCTGTAGTTACCGCAGACTTTCCCAGATCAGAATCAACTGGCTGAATCCTCAGGAAAGTTCTAGCTCCTCCTTCCACTCCCCTTTCTACTCCTTTAGCCCTCTACTAACAGAAGCCAATGAGCTTCCTGCCAGCACTGCCTATCACTTCCTGCCCTAATGGTGACCAGTGATTTTTGAGACCCACTTGCACCCCAACACTCTGGGTTTTCTCCCTCTTGCCTTTTACATTTGGTTTGTGCTCACTTAAGTGAGCTGGTAAAATTGAACTTTATGCTCCCTTACCATGTTTCCCACGATTGCCTCCCTTTGAATATGGAATATTATGTACATCCATTTTTAGCACATCCACATGCTATGCTGTAATTTACCTTTTCAAAATTCAGCATATAATTTATTTTGTTTTGTTTTGAACAGGGTCTCACTATGTAGACCAGGTTGACCTGAAACTTGCAGAGATCCTCCTGCTTCTGCTTCCCAAGAGCTGGGATTATAGGCATATATCACCATGCCTAGATCAGCATGTTATTTAAACATGGACTCACATCCCTACATCAGGTTTTCTCTTTCAACCGTCATCCTAAACCCCCAGGGACCCTTGCAAATGTCTGGGGACATTGTCCTCCGTCCTTGTGTGTGTGTGTCTGTGTGTGTCTGTGTGTCTGTGTCTGTGTGTCTGTGTGTCTGTGTCTATGTCTGTGTCTGTGTGTTTCTGAGCATTCTGTTCTGTTCCATGGACAAATCCCTCTATATCTGTGTCAGTCCTACACTGCCTTAATTTTTTATCACTCCATAGTAGGACATGATGTCTGATAGGAAAGTCCCTAATTCCTCATAGCCAAAGGGGTCTTCTTTATCCCTTGGCTTTACTCTTCCTTGTATATGAGGATCTACATGTCAAGTTCCCTGAAAACTCAGTTGCAAAAAGTTTGGATTGCATTTTCCTTGACTCTGAAGATGTATTGAGAGGAATCTGCAGGGTGTCCAACCTTCCAAGTCATCAGCTTGTAATGTCTCTTCATTTGTGTGATCCACGTTTTCATCTCAGTTTTATTTTCAGTTTTATCTTTTGTGCATTTGTATCTGGTTCTCCTTTTGTTTTTGGTTTTTTTACCAGAAAGCTCTAGAGTATTGTGGCTCTTGTATTTAATATCTAGCTGCAATGGAAACTTTTCATTTGCATCTAATTTATAGAAATACATTTGACTTTTTAACTAGTGTATTGATCTTAAAATCAGGGACCATATTAAAATTTATTATACCTAAAGATATATCTATAGGCATTCTGGACTTTTCTTTGACACTAAATAATATTATTATAATATAATTTAGGGGGGTTGTATCATTCTAGCTTGGACACCCAGTAAAAAGCCTCAAAAGATGTAAAATTTGGACTTGTTTGGATAACTGCTGATTCTTTAAAATGCCACCAACATTTCCACAAAAAATAATTTCCCTTTCTGCTTTTTTATTTTCTTCCTTTCTTCTTTCTTTCATCCTCTCTCCTTCCTTTTTTCTTCCTTTCTTCCTTGCTTGCTATTAGCTTCCTTTTTTCTTATTACTGCATTAAGGAATGTCCCTCACTTCAAATGTGCATTTTAAAAACCACAACTAGGGGCTAGAGAGATGGTCCAGTGGTTAAGAGCACTGGCTGATCTTGCAGAGGACCCAGATTTGATTCCCAGCACCCACATTGTGGTTAACAACCATCCATAACTCTAGTTCCAGGAGAATCTGATGCCTTCTGTCCTCTATGGGTGTTGCATAACATGGGTGCACTTACATACATGCAGCTAATGCACTTATACACATAAAATAAAAATAATAAATAAAAAATTTTTTTAAAACACAACTAGATTTCACCTGTATGTTGGTGTTAAGAGCCCTGTTCATTTTATCTGGGGGAAAAAGTGACTGATATTAATAGATTTTTCCTATACTTTAAGTTAAATTTACCTTATAATAAAAAAACAGAAAAACTGTAAGTACATATTAGTAGTAGTAGTAGTAGTAGTACGTATTAGTAGTATTAGTAGTAGTATATATGTTTAATTTTCCAAAATTAAACATACAATATAGCATCTAGAACAACCAATCAAATATGTTAACCACAAAGGCCTCCCTCATACCTCTTCCACTTGAAGTTTTCTAATATTAAATCACCTTTGGTCCCCTAGGATAACTGTAACTTAGTTATGGTACATTATCTTTTATATGTGGGAAGAATTAGCTACAATTTCTGTGAGCATTTTGTGTCTTTGGTTAATGGGTAATATTGACATGAAGTTTCTTTCTCATGTAATATTTTTAATCTGGCTCCAGAGTTCAGGTTTACTGTCATAGACTGACTTTAGTAAGAATCCTTTTTTTCTATCTGAAAATATTCATTGTTTTAATACATTTTTAATAATTTTGTTAATTTTAATAGTTGGTAAAGTATCAGAAATGACAGGGCTTGGTGGCACAGGCTTTTAATCTAAGCACTCAGGAAGCAGAGGCAAGCATATCTCTATGGGTTCCAGGCCAGCCTAGTCTACATAGCAAGTTCCAGGTCAACCAGGGCTACATAGTGACACCCTAACCCTAACTCTAACCCTAACCCTAATATTATAATAAAATTTGAATAGTAATCACGACTAGTGTAAGTAAAATGGCAGACTAAAATGTCTCAATTTTTTGTTATCCCATGGAAAAGTCAAAAAACGAAACTACAAACAGACTAAAATAACCTTATAGGAAGTTTGAGAACCATGAAAAACCCACAGCAATCAAGAGAATGCCAAATCAAGAAAAAGTTATTTTCAAAACAGCAGACAAGTTCATGGACATGGTAGTAGGCTGGTGGAGAGTCAAGGCTCCATTGCAGCTTCTTTCATTTCACACTGGAGGAAAAGAAGAGTCTGCTCACAAGACACTAGCCTTTCTGCAGGTTGTCCTAGGGGATGATCTGTCTTGCCTGACTCAGAGCTCAGACACAACACAAGCAGTGTCTGGACCCTAGGCTGGAAGTCATGCAAAGCAGTTAAGAGTGCCCAGAGACAAGCAAAATGCCAACTGACTGTAAACCCAGTGACACCTGGAGGCAAGAGACTGAGGGCAGT